GTCCCATCTTTTGTGAGACGGTGGGAGGAGGAACTAGGGATGACCTTCACAGAGCAGCAGATCCACACCATACTCACCATGTCGGTCAAATCCTCAATGGCCAGCAAAGTGCAAGAACTAGGTTATAAGATATTGTCCCGGTGGTACAGAGTACCATGGCTCTTGCACAAGATGAGACCCCTCATATCAGATCAGTGTTGGCGATGTGGCTCGGAAATCGGAACGATCTTAAACACGTTCTGGTCATGTAGGGTGCTGAGGCCCTTCTGGTACCAGGTGTTGTCTGTGATACAAGAACTGACCATGACAGACCTGACCAACAACCCGGCGGCATGCCTCTTGCATATGTCAGCATCTCCACTGCCGACCTACAAGCGCTCGCTCACACGTCACCTGTTGGACGCGGCCTTAAAAAAAGACTTAAAGTGAAGTCTATGGTGTGGGCTATTCCTTCGTTATTTCATCATCAATTAAGCAGGTAAAAGGTCTGGAGTTGGCTCTGGGTCTGGCATTTGCATTGTGAACCCACAACATGCATTCAGAGGAGATCTCAATGCAAGTAAAACAGGCCATTCATAGGCTGCAAAAACAATAAATCCATCAGAGAGATAGCAGGAACATTAGGAGTGACCAAATCAACAGTTTTGCACATTCTGAGAAGAAAACAACGCACTGGTGAGCTCTCCAACACAAAAAGGCCTGGGTGTCCACGGAAAACAGTGTTGGATGATTGTAGGATCCTTTACAAGGTAAAGAAGAACCGCTCCACAACATCCAGCCACGTGAAGAACACTCTGCTGGAGGTAGGCCTATCATTATACAAGTCTATCGAAAGAGAAGACTTCACAGGAGCAAATAAAGAGGGTTCACCACAAGGTGGAAACAATTCAGAAGCTTCAAAAATAGAAAGACCAGATTAGACTTTGCCAAAAAATATCTAAAAAATGGTCTAGTCAATCACCTGTTCTTAACCCGCTCGGGCACTCATTTTACTTGCTGAAGACAAAGCTTAAGGCAGAAAGACCCACGAACAACAACTAAAGACAGCTCCAGTAAAGGCCTGGCAAAGCATCACAAAGGAGGAAACCCATCGTTTGGTGATGTCCATGTGTTAGTGCTGTTATTCGTGATTAGCTGTTCAAGTACCCAGCCCTGTCAGATGGGAGCAGGGAGCGAGTCAATCTCCGTGTTCGTGCTGGTGCTTGATGATTGGCTCCTTTGGTACCCAACACTGCCAAGATTGGGGCATGGAGAGAGTCATTACCCTATGTATTAGCTTTAAGTCATGGCCTAAAGCTTAAACAGAGCCATTTCACTTCCAACTAAGCCGTTCCAATTGAATGGTATGGTAGCAGGAAGCAGCCAAGTGATCTAGTTTCTGATCCCTGCTTGGTTTATTTTAAAGCTAAATTCCAGGTCTCCTGTAATCCCCTAAACAGCTGGCAGGTGTTTTTTCTAAACCTGTGCACATGTACTGGTAGTAAACACATTGACAGATGGAGAGAGCAGGGTACGCACAGGGATGACCTCTGTGTGATGCTGCTCCTTCACTTTCTATTCAACAGTCTAGAGATGTGTTCTTGAAGCTGAGCTGCTGCTGCAGTAGAGATGGAGGAACCAGGTTGTACTGTCCGGCAGGGGGTGTCTGAATCACAAAACTGGCTGCATAGAATTACATATCATTTGGCAGGAAAACAGTTGCCATATATTTTATTTCAGCTGTGTATTTTTTGCTTGCAGTCAATCATTAAGCAATGATTGACTGCAAGCATGATATGGTAAATGGTTATGAATGCTGATTAATCAGTGTGATGGTCTATATCAGGGCTCAAAATTTCCACTCGCCCCCTCGCAATTGGCAAGTGAAAATTGCGTGGGGGCGAGTGGAAATCTTCATTTGCATAACTTAATTCCCATGAGGCAGTGCAAGACACTGA